GTGCAGCCCGGGGGGGGCTCCCTGCAGCCGGGGGGCTCCACTGAGGATCCCTCATCACCCCAACCACGGAGAGCTCAGCCCAGTGCCCTGGCATGGCCCCGCTCCTCACTGGAGCAGGCGGAGCAGCATCCCCGAGTGCCAGAGCGGGGCTCCCGCCGCAGCCCACCCCCCATGCCAGGCCAGGGAGGGGTCACATCGCCCCAGCCTCCCGCCCCAGCCCCGGCACATGTGTTTCCAATGTGGCTGGGAGCTCCAGGGAGTCGGCGTGCTCAGAAAGCAGCACCAAATTCCTTTCCGATCGAGTAATGGGCCCCAGCAGCCTTCGCGGGGCCGGGCAGGGGGAGGGGATGCTCGGACCCTCCAGGACCGGGCTGGAGCAGGGGAAATCCCAGACTAAACAGAGGGATCCCGTCCGGACATGAGCGCGGCGTTCCCCGGTTCCGGCGCAGGGCCAGGCTCTGGCACAGTGTCCTCCCTGGGTCGGCCAGGCCGGGCCCTCCTCCCCGTGGCACTGTCCCCATCACCTTGCAGCCCCAGCAGCATCACCCCCCATCCCGCACCCCGCAGCGGGGATGCTGCTCCCGCAGGCACTGAGTGCCAGGCCCTCCGGTGACAATGGAGCACCGGCTGGGCACGATGGAGCAGCTGGGCACGATGGAGCAAAATCAGCCCCACGGGTGGGATTGGCAGGGCATCGCTGCCGGGCCGGGATCAGCGTTGGAGGTGTGTGTGGGGGAGCCACCGGCACTCGCCTTCCCGGGAACCGATTCTGCTGCTCTCAGCAGCTCTGGCAGGGACGGCTCCTTTGCAGCGGATGCCGGGAAGCGAGATGTACCCGGGGCTGACAGCTGCCGCCGGGCCGGCAGGGCACACGGCGCCTGCCCACAGCGCCCCTGGGCTGACAGCGGGACTGTGGGGCCCTCCGGAGACCCCAGGGACTGGCGGGGACCTGGATCTGCCCGGGCCCACACAGCCCTGTCCTGAGAGCAGGGACCTGGTTAGAAATAGACGCGTGACGGGCTGGGCTGTGGGTGCAGCCCAGCTGGGAGGTGGGAGTCCCCGGATGGGTGGTGGGTGTATCCCGGAGGGGCGGCGGATGCCCCTGGCTGGGTGGTGGGCGCACAGAGCTCCCCTCCGTCCGCCCCCCATCAAAAGCAACATGCACAGCATGCACCCAGCACTGCCCAGCGCCCCGGCTGTGCCCAGCGCGATGCGCCCCGGCGCGCCGGCAGCGTTCCCACCCAGCACAGAGTCGCCCTGGAGGGCAGGGAGGGGATGGCGGGGCAGATGGTCCCCGCCAGCCTCCGGCACCCGGCTGGGCTGGGAGAGGCGGCTGGGCTGGCCGCGGGTGATGCTCCCTGCAGCGGGCCCGGATCCGGCCGGCCTCGACACCGGGTGCCCCGCAGCGGGGCGCGGGCAGCGCGAGAAGCCGGGGGTCCCAGCGGGGAGCGCCGCTCCCCTCTCCGGCTCAACAGCAACCCCGGCCCGGCGGGGCAATCCCGGGCCGACAGCACGCTCCCTCGGGGATATGGCAGCCCCGGAGCTCGGGGGAATCGGAGGGTAGCGGGAGCGGCGGGAGATGCTCGGTGCCCCCGCGGCTTCAGGCCTCGCTCCGCCGGGCAGCGGGACCGCCCGCTGCCGGGGTACCGGCGGAGCCGGTCGGGAGCAGCACCGGCCGGGAGCGGGGCCGTGCTGCGGGGCCCCGATCCCCTCCCCATCCCCCGTTCCCCGGGCGCCCCTGCCCGCGGCTCCTGCTCCAGACAATGGCGAGGAACCGGTGCCGGGCCCAGCACCGGGGAGCCCCACGGGGCCCTCCCCGCCGTGCGCGAATTCCCCCGCTCCCCGCTCTCGCTGCCCGGCCGGGGTCGGACCGGGCCGTGCCGGGAGTCCCGGCGCTCGCACGTGCCGGCCCGGCGCAGACAAAGCGGGGACCGCGCCCCGGCCCGGTGCGGCGGGCAGGTGCGGGCACCGGGGGCGGCGAGCCGGGCACACCCCCCGCCGCCCCGCCCGCCTTTGTGTGCCGGGGCTCCCGGGGACGGCGGGGGGCGCAGCTCGGGGCGCGGCCGGTGTTACCGGGCGGCTCCGTGCACAAAGGGCGGCGGCGGCGGCGGGGACAAAGGGGCGGCGGCGGCGGCGGGCGCGCTCACCAGTCGGTGGGGCTGTCCTCGCCGATCACGTCCTGGTAGGAGGCGAGCAGCTCCAGGCGGTGCGCCGCGAAGCCGACGCCAGCCATGGCGGGGCCGGGATGCTGCCGGGGGACCGGAGGGACCGGCCGCCTGCCCGCCTCCGAGACACTGCCGCAGCGGCCGGGCGGAGGGGCGAGCGGCGGGGAGGCTCCGCCCGCCGCCGCGCCCGGTCCTAGCGCCGCGAACGGCGGCCCCCCTCCCCTCCCCTCCGCCCCCCCGCCCGGCCCCCGCCCCCGCCGCGCCCCCGGGGCGCCCCCAGGGCATCCCGCCGGCCGCGCCGCCCGGCCCGGGCCGGGACCCCGGGGGTGCGGGCAGCAGCATCACCCCCGCCCCGCCGCCCCCGCGCGCGGCTCGCCCCCGGGATCCCGCAGCCCGGGCTCCGCTCTGCCCCCGCAGCACCGCGCCCCGGGCCAGCCCCCGCCCCAGGGACACCGAACCCCGGCTCGGCTCCTCCCGGGAACCTGCACGCCTGGTGATTTCGCATCCCGGGCTCTCCTCCGCCCTGGGGACCCCGCATCCTGTGCTGCCCCTCCTGGGAACTTGCACTCTGGAGACCCTCGTGCTGGGTGGTCCTCTCCGTTCCCATATTCTCCCCTCTCCCATGTCCTCTACACCCAGGGGACGTGGCACACCTGGCTTCTGTGCCCTCCGCTGCCCTACCGAGCCCCCGCGTCCAAGGGTTCCTCTCCAAGGACACGGCACCGCAGGCTTTGCCCTACACACCCAGCCATGCCCTCGCTGCTTGCACAAGAGGTCAGTGGACGGAGCCTCTTTGGGGCCTCTTTGCTGCCCATCTGCTCCTCCATCCCCACCACTCCCAAGCCCGCCGGTCCTTTCAGAACACCGCAAGCACCTTTTCCAGGAGGTTTTGTCTCAGTGTGAACCCACAGCTGGTTTTGCACTGACCCGCGCAGGGCTCTGCACGGGCTCCCAGCCGGGTCCCGCAGCGATTCCCTGTCCCCAGCACTGTCCCCAGCCCCTACCAACACCGCTGGAGGGGTCTCTGTGCCAGAGCAGCAATGGAGAGCGCACAGGGCCTGATTCCTGCAGGATGAGGGTGGATGTTGGTGGAGGGGCCCGTCCCAAGACAAGCCCTTCAGGCCCCTGGATGACCCCAGAGGGACAAGGGACAGGGGGCCGCGGGTGCCGCCCTCTCCCCCCACGCCCTCCTTACACCAGCATTTCCGAGCGAGGCCGGAGCCGGAGCCGCCCTAAGAGGCTCTGAGAGTTTGGGAGCAGCTGTGGAGCAGCTGCCGGGGCCAGCGCGGGGGCTGGGGCCGCGGCAGGCGCCCCACAAGCGGCTCAGATGGCTTTGGTGGTGGATGTGGTGGGACCCTGCTCGGGGATGTGGTGGGAGCTCCGAGCCTACCGCCGCCAGGCTTTGTTCTCGGAGCAGCGAGGCTGCAGCCCCTCCCCAGGCTCCTCCTCCGCAGCCCACCCGAGACCCTCCTTCCGCTGCCTGAGCACAAGCTCCTCACATGGTGCGCAGAGCTGGTGGGCAAGAGATGCCCTTGGCAAGGCACAGAGGCACCTTGGGTGGTAGAGCCATTGTCAGGATGGCCCAGAGGCAACAGGGAACCAAGCAGAGCCAAGAGCGCAGCCCTTGCAGCGGCACAGGGGGATGCTTGGCTCTCCCCAGGGCAGAGGCAGGTTGGCTGCAGCACCCTGGCCCTGCTGGACACCCCGGGGCTGATCTGGCAGAACCTGTTCCCAGAGCAGGCTCCGTCCCGCACCATTGCCCGCCCCTGCCCCTTTCCCACCCCCCACTCACGGATTGCTGTCCAGCCAAGCCAGGGTTGGTTCAGGGGCTGCCCACGTGGGGCCACAGCCGCCTCACCTTCCCCTGTGCTTCCTCTGACCTTGGCTGCCCAGCTGGGACTCACACGGGGCACTCAGCCCTGCTCCTGCCAGCCCTGCCAGGCAGGCACCAGCTGTTTCTGTCCCTTGCTGCACCCGTGTCCTGCTGCTTCTCAGCGTGACCATCCCACTGCTCTCCTGTGCCCCAGCCTGAGCGCCTGGCCCAGCCCCAGCCTGTCTTCATCCCTCGACTTTCCTCACCCCATCTTTGATGTGCTTTTGCACTCCTGGAACTGGCAGTGAGAAGACATGGCACCGCAGCCCAGATCTGGGTGATGCCAGGAGGCATTTGGCTCCCCCCAGCCGGCTCCTGCCCCCGGCAGAACCTTCCAGTAGATGAGCAAGACAATTTTCCTTACAATTGCTCATCATGGCAAGAGCTGCAATTATTAATGACCGTTCCAGCTGTCAGAGTGGAGAGGGAGGAGAACAGCCACTTCCCCACAGCCGCTGCCCTCCGGCCCGTTCCAGCTGGAGGTGCTGCTGTGGCCTCACCCCCGTCCTTCGGGACAGCAGCTGCAGCACATGAGCGAACGCTTGGCTGCTCCACGCTGGAGAACGCCCAGAGCTGGTGCACGCGGCCCATGCGTGCCCCATGGCTCCTCAACCCCTCTACAGTGCTCAGGCACAAGGACACTGCCCCACGAGGGCCCCCACTAAGGTCTGACCCCTTCCCCATCTCTCCTTGCTGCATTTTGCACCCCCAGATTTATTGCTGCCTCCATTAGCGGCCCTGCCTGTGACAAGAGGGATGACCCAGCCAACACATGGGGTCAAGCCTGGGCTGACACAGGCAGAGGAGGAGAAATGTGAGGCAAAGAGTTTCCCTGGAAAGCTGGAGGGAGCTGAGTCAGGCCCCAGAGGGAGCGGGATGAGGGCAGAGCATGACCTTCCCAGCCGGCCGCACCTCGCTCGGCAGAACCACGGCCCGGAGACAGGCGGCACTTGCAGAGACGTGTTTATTAAAGGCACTAAAAGCACCGTGGCTACATCAGGGCAGCCCGACCGGAGGGTGTGGTGTGGGGGGAGGCATCGGTGGCCCCAGGATGGCAGTGGCAGAGAGCTCTTTGGTAGGAAGCTGTGCCCAAGCCTTGCAGGAGCAGCCGCCTGGCTGGGCTGGCATCAGCACACGCTGCCAGCCCACGGCTGGGGGTGATGCCAGCCCCAGGGGATGCCACCAGGGTGGGGGGCATGAGGGACAGACACCCCTGGAATGCAGCTGGGGCAGGAAACCACCGCAGCAGTGTGAGGGGTGCCTGGTGGGTGGGCATGGGCAGGGCCCCAGCAGAGGAGCAGGGCTGGGTCTCCAGCCCCAAGCACACAGCAGGGAAGGCTGGGGAGAGTGAGACAGGAGCTGGTCCTCACCCACTCGGGGAGGGATGTGTAAGGAGTGTCCCTGCCCCAGCAATGAGCTGCCAGGCAGCAAGGGAGCAGCCCAGCTGTGGCAGACCCTCTCCAATTCCAGCCTCAGCATGGTTGTGCCCACCATGCTGCGTGGCTCAGGGGCAGGAGATCCATGCAGCATCCCATTCCCAGGGCTCCTAGGGCCAGCTGAAAAGCATACAAGAAGTCACCCAGCTATCAAAGGCTGGACCCAGCACTCTATCTGGCTGGAGTTGAGCCAGGAGCTGCTAGGAAAGGGGCAGGAGCAAGGGAAATGGCCAAGGGCCCAGCCTGGCTCCCTAGGGCCAGCAGGGCAGGGGGAGAGGAGCATGCAGGGCCAGGGGCATGTGTGGGCACAGCTGGATTTCCACCCCTCACACGTGGGAGAAAGCATGGCTCTTGCACAGAGGCTTGTCCTTCTTGGAGTAGAACGTCTTCCCTTCCAGGTTGGTCTGGCAGATCTGGAGAGGAGAGTGCAGGTGGTCAGGCTGAGGGGCCGAGTCAGCCTCTGGTTCCCCCACAGCCCAGCACTGGTGTCACACAGGAACCTCCACGTGGGTCTGGGACACTGCCAGGGACCAGAAGGCTCAGAGCAGAATCCCAAGCTCCCGGAATGGAGGCAAGTGGGAAAAATCTTGTGGCAGCAGGTCCCCAGTGCTGCTGGTGTACCCCACCCAGGGCAGGACTGTCAGGGAAAGGCCCAGGCCCTGCAGCAGTCGGGGAGGGAGGCACACTGCTCACCGCACAGACAAAGCAAGTGTCGTGCCAGCTGAAGCCCAGCGCCTCCAGGAACCGGTCCCCAGCATCGATCTTGAAGTCACAGCCGCGGCACTTGGTGCCAAACATCTTCTCATAGTCTGTGAGAAAGGCAGAACACAGGTCAGCACTTCCACGCACTACAGCTGCTCATCCCAGAGCAGCAGGGCTGCAGCTCAGCCAGGATCCCACAGGCACAGCCTGGGCACAGCTCTGCCAGCCCCCATCCAGGTGAGATAATGCCCCGAAAGGTGCAGGGTGGCTCCAGGGGGAGGAGGAGAACCTCAGCTCCCAGGATGCAGCAGCAGCAGCTTTGATGTACATCCTCCCTCATTGCCATGGCAACACAGGAGCATGGCACTACCCTGCAGCTAGGGAGAACCAGGATGGAGCGCTCAGGGCTGTGGGATTGGGGTCTCTCTGCCCCTCACAGCCCAGGGGGAGCCCCGAGGAGCAGGGCAGCTCATGTCCCCAGCCCTGTGCCCAGCTGCTGAGTCCCAGTGGTGCCCCAGGGCCACATGAGGTGACACATGGGGTCCCTGGCTCCTACCTCTCTCGCAGTAGGGCTGTCCCTCCTCCATGTAGAAGGCTCGGTTGCGGATGGGAGTTTTGCAGGCGTTGCAGGTGAAGCACTGCACGTGCCAGGTCATCTTCAGTGCGTGCATCACCTCCTGGAGGGGAGCCACTGTCAGCCAGGGGCAGGAGCACCAAGGGACAAAGAATCCCCTGAGATGGACCAAGGTGGGAAGGGACAGAGCCAGGCACCCACAGCAGAGGGCAAGGAGGAGATGGAGGGCAGCTGAGGGACACTCACCCCAGTGATCTTCTTCTTGCACTTGGCGCAGGTGGGCGCGTAGCGCGTGTCGTAGCACTTGGGGCAGAAGATGGAGCCTTTCTCCTCAAAGAAGCCGCCCTCATCCAGCACCTTCCTGCACTGGCAGCAGACAAACTCCTCGGGGTGGTAATAATGTCCCAGCGCCACGAGGTACCGTCCCCTGCAGCAGGACAGAGCCACGTCAGCCATGTCCAGGGCCCAGGGCTCAGGACACGCCGTGGCAGTGGTGGCAGCCGGGGCTCACCTGATGACTTTGTTGCACTTGTAGCACAGGGGGGTGCGGCCGGGCCCCTCGGGGGCCTGCTGGGCTGCCTGCACGATGGAGCTGCGGTTCTGCATGGGGGTGGGCGTGGCTGGCTGGCTGTGCTTGCTCACCACCGTGCTCGTCTTGTCCGGGGCGTAGCGCTCGGCAAACGAGGGGTCCACAGCCCAGGGCGGGCGGCTGGTGGGGCTGGGGGTGGCACTGGGGGTCCTGGGGGCTGCACACACACAAGTCTTAAGGACAGTGCTCCTGATCCCTCGGCAGCCCCTCCCCAAAACGCCCAGAGATGTTTTGCTCACCCAGTCCTGGCTCCGTCTTCATCGTTGCTCCTGGGGACGGGTCCGGCACGGAGACCTGGCTACAGAACAAGCAGTTAATCCAGCCTGCCCTGCTCGTCCCCACTGCCCAGGGGGTGCAGGCAGGGCTCCCACTCCAACAAGCAGGAGGGAGCTGGCCAAGCCCCCATGGCCAGCAGTAACTGGTTTAGTGATTAGGTACTGAGCCAAGGGCCTCCAGTCCTGCCAAGACAGCACCCCCAGGGTCTCTGGTACCCACTGTGGTGGTCTGCAGAGAGGCAGGAGGGAAGGTTCTGGGCTTCTCCACACTGACCAGGGACCCCAGGGAGCACACAGACTTTGGCTGCCTACTAATATGATCAGTCTCATTGGGGTGCAGGGGGACCTAGAGGTGATCTGATGCAGGGAGCCCCAGGGTCCAGCTCAGCAGTGCTGGGAACAGGCAGGGCAAGCCAGGGCTAAAGAGGCACAGCCCACTGAAAGAGGGGGGACAGGAAGAGAGGGAGAGCCAATGGCCCTGTGCTTCTCCAAGACAAATTCAAAAAGGAGATGGCAACAAATCCAACTTTTATTTGTGTCAGAGCAAACTGGGCAGAGCTGGTACCCAAGGGCCATGGCACCAGGGCAGGAAGTTTTACAGACAGGTAAAGGCAAAAACTGGGGGGCTGTCCACCCCCCTGCCTGGCTGCACAGAACAAAGAACAACCCTGACAAACTGGTGACATCCACGACCTCAGCTGCCCCACAGCCCCACGCCAGGCTTGCAGGACACTGTGCCCCAGGTCCAGATGCCACCCAAACATTACAACAACCCAGTGACATTTGGCCAGTGCCATCAACCACTCCCAACCACCGTTTCTGGGGCACCACGGCGCAGCTCAGCATTCCCAGCTGAGGGGCAGCAATGCCCAAGGGGTTCTGCCCAGGATGTGCAGCCCCCCAGCTCCTGCTGCCACACACTCCCCTTACCTGGGCTTCCTAACAAACACATCATCATGATCCTCCACTGAGCGCAGCAGGAGAGAAAGGAGGAAATAGTCAGTCCTCACAGACAGAGGCCCCGGCACAATAAGAGGGGAAAGGGGGAAAAGAAGAAAACAAATCTCTCCTCCCACCAACCCCTGCCCCAAAACAAAGCCCTGCCCAGTCACAGGGCAGACCAAGACCCCAGACCGGTGGCACCACCACGACACCACACACAGCCCCACCAGCTCCCCTGACTCAGCCACCCCACAGGGACCACACAGGGCCAAAACCAACGCTCCAGTGCCACTCCAGATTCTGCCAGACCCTGGCAGCCCAGGGAGAGTCCAGCAGCCCCGGGCAGTGCCAGGCCCTGTGGGGACTCACTCTCATCTGTGCCCGTCAGCTGGGCCAGCTTGCGGAAGGAGCGGGACTGCGAGGTGCCGGTGCGGGGCTGCCAGTCCTCAGCGTCCTCCATCAGCCGCAGCTTCCCAGGATTGCACCCGGGGGTGCTGGGGGGCTCCAGAGGCTGTGGGGGCTGCCTGTGAGTGACACAGGGCAGGAGCTCAGCCAGCACAAAGCACACACCCTGCTCTGGAACAGGGAAGCACTCCAAAGGGTGCTCTGGCTCATGGCAACATCTCTGCCACACCCTGGCACTCACCGCTGCTCCACCGTGCCCCAGCTGGAACCACGGGCATCCCTGTGGCAGCAGAATAAATGGTGGCACAGCAGTCAGTGGCTGATCCATGGCTCAGCCCACGTTTCCACATGCACCCACAATGTCAGAGATACGAAAACCTCGTGGAAATGCCGACAGCATTCACTCCTGGCCAGCCTTGCAGCCATTCCATGAACCCACGTGATATCGTGCCCCAGGTACGGTGCCTCCCTGTGACTCCAAAAATGCCCAGCAAAGTGTTGTGTCACCAGCCATCCCTACACACTCTGCTGCATATTAACCTCCCCAGCCTGGTGCCAGCAGTGCCCGGTGAGTCTTGCCTGCACACCCATTTGGGGACAAACTGTCTGGCCAGGGGGTGTCCAGGCAGGAACCTCCCAAGGTGAAGGTCAAAGCAGTGGCTGAGCACTGGCAGTGCCTGGTGTGGGCCGAGCACAAGGTGGGCTCTGCAGCTCCACCACCACCTCAGCTCTGGCAGAGGACAAAGAGGGAGAGAAGAATCCACAACAGGGCAAAGAGTGTGCCCAGAGTCATGAGAAGTAGTGATGCTGAGGGGAAATGAGCCAGCAGCACCCATCCAGCTCTGCCACACCAGGCTCACAGGACAATGTGCCCCAGGTGCAGCCACTCCCAGCACTTCCCAACATCCCATAGCCAGGTTTTCCCAGTGCCATAGCCTCCTCCACTCCTTGTATGCTCAAAACGCTAAGGTGCAGCTCAGCATCTCCAGCTCAGAGCCAGCAGTGCCCAGACACCTGGGACATGCAGCCTCAGCACATGCTCCCTTACCTGGGCTTTTTAACAATCTCATCCTCACCATCCTCCACTGCAGCAGGAGAGAAAGGGGGACATGGTATCAGTCTGCAGTGACTGATGCCCAGGAAAAGCAGGAACAGGAAAGGAGGAAAACCCACCATCCCCTCAGCCCATCACACAGCCCTGCTTGGCCATGAGGCAGAGCATGGCCCCATGAGCAGCTCCTGCTGGCTCAGCTGCCCTCAAGGGGTGACTTGGGGCCAAAATCAAACTCCTGATGCCACATCACCCCACTGCCAAAACAGTCCCACACCCCCAGGCAGTGCCAGGCCCTGTGGGGACTCACTCTCATCTGTGCCCGTCAGCTGGGCCAGCCTGCGGAAGGAGCGGGACTGCGAGGTGCCGGTGCGGGGCTGCCAGCCCTCCGCGTCCTCCATCAGCCGCAGCTTCCCAGGGTCACACCCGGGGGTGCTGGGGGGCTCCAGAGGCTCCCTGTGAGTGACAGAGGGCAGGAGCTCAGCCAGCACAGAGCACAGACCCTGCTCAACACTGCAGCACAGGGCAGTGCTGCCAAAGGTGACCTGGAACATGGCAACACCTCTGCCGGCCCGTGGCACTCACCGCTGCTCCACTATGCCCCAGATGGACCCATGGGAATCCCTGTGACATTGGAAGAAACAGCAGCACAACAGTCACTGTTTGACCATGCCTGCCATACGCACCCACAGCCCCATGGAGGCACGAGCCACAGGGAAATACTGACCAGCAGCCTTGCAGCTGCTCCACAGCTGCACAGGATGCAAAGCACCAAGACCAGTTGCTGCTCAGCACCTCTCAACATCTGCAGCAAGGTGTTGTGATTGCCACCAGCCACCCCTACCCAGGTGGGTGCTTGGGGCAGGACCCTCCTGAGGTGACGGTCAGAGCAGTGGCTGAGTGCTGGCAGTGCCCATTGTGCAGCTCTGAAAACACCTCAAGTCTGGGAGAGGGGACAGAGAGGGAGGGGAGAACCCCCAGCAGTGCAAAGAGCACCCCCAGAGTGACTGCAAGCAGCAAGGGTGAAGTGGCTGTTTGGACAGAACCTGGCATGGGCACCTTGTGGCTCCTGCTGCTGCCCTTACCTGGGCTTTTTAACGGGCTCATCGTCACCTTCATCCACTGAGGACACCAGGAGAGAGAGGGGGAGATGGAGTCAGTCTGCGGCAACTGAGGCCCAGAGACAGCAGGAAGGAAGGGGAAGGGAAGGGAAAGGAAGGAAAAATGCCCTTTCCTCCCACAGCCCCCCTGCCCCAACACACAGCCCTGCCTGGCCACAGGGCAGAGCACAGCCCCAGCCCAGTGACACCACCACGAGCCCACACAGCCCTGGGCAGCTCCTGCTGGTTCAGCTGCCACAGAGGGCCCAAATGGGGCCAAAACCAATGCCCTGCTGCAACAACACACCACAGCCTTTAACAGCTGCCCCAGCACAGCTGGGCACAGCTGGGCAGCCAGGCAGTGCCAGGCCCTGCAGAACTCACTGCTGCTGGCTCCCACCAGCCGGGCCAGTTTGCGGAAGGAGCGGGACTGGGAGGTCCAGGTGTGGGGCTTTGTGTCCACAATGTCCTCTAACATCTTCAGCTTCACAGGGTCACACACACTGTCACTGGGGGGCTCCAGGGGCTGCGGGGGCTGCCTGTGAGTGACAGAGGGCAGGAGCTCAGCACCAGGACTGGACCCTGCTGTGGAACAGGGAAGCACCCCCAAAGATGCCCTGGCACATGCCAACACCTCTGCCAGACCCTGGCACTCACCGATGCTGCCCCGTGCCCCAGTTGGACCCATGGGCATCCCTGTGGTATCAGAAAGAATCGTGGCACAGCAGTCAGTGTTTGACCAGCCCATCCCTCCCCATACACATCCACAGCCCCAGAGATGCACGAGCCTTGTGGAAATGCTGACAGTGTTCACTCCTGATCAGCCTTGCAGCCATTCCCTGGCCCCATAAGACACTGTGCCCTAGTCTGGTCCCATTCCCTACCCTGCAATTCCCAACACCCCCAGCAAGGCGCTGTCAGTGCCAGCAGCCACCCCTGCCCACTGTGCCCAGCACACTGTGCCGCATCTTGGCCTCCCCAGCTTGGTGCCAGCAGTGCCAAGCAGGTCCTGCCTGCATACCCAGCATGAGGACACTCATCTGGGCACAGCCTGCCTGGCTAGTGGGTGTCTGGGCAGGACCCTCCTGAGGTGACAGAGCAGTGGCTGAGCACTGGCAGTGCCTGTTGTGGCGTGAGCCTGTGGCTCTGCCAACAGCTTGGCTCTAGGAAGAAGGAAAGGATAGGACAGAGGGTGGAGGATAAGGAGAGGAAAGAAGAAACAGCAACAGGCAAAGAGCTTCCCCTGAGTGACTGCAAGCAGTGAGAGAGAACAAGCCTTGTGGGCTGAGCCCAGGGTGGGCACCCTGTGGCTCCTGCTGTTGCCCTGGCACACAATCCCCTTACCTGGGCTTTTTAATAAATTCATCCTCACCATCCTCCACTGAGTGCAGCAGGAGAGAAAGGGGGAGATGGAGTCAGTCTGCAGCAACCAAGGTCCAGGAAAAGCAGGAAGGGAAAGGAGGAAAACCAACCTCTCCACTCACCTGGCCCCACTGCACAGCCCTGTCTGGCCACAGGGCAGAGCACAACCCCAGACCAGCAGCACCACCATGAGCCCACACACAGCCCTGGGCAGCTCCCGCTGGCTCAGCTGCCCTCAGGGAGTTAACTGGGGCCAAAACCAACACTCCCGGGTGCTACATCACCCCACTGCTCCTCCCAGCTTCTGGTTACCCAAAACAGCTCCACATCCCCAGGCAGTGCCAGGCCCTGTGGGAACTCACTGCCACCTGTGCCCGTCAGCTGGGCCAGCTTGCGGAAGGAGCGGGACTGCGAGGTGCCGGTGCGGGGCTGCCAGTCCTCAGCGTCCTCCAACATCCTCAGCTTCCCAGGGTCACACCCAGGGGTGCTGGGGGGCTGCAGAGGCTGTGGGGGCTGCCTGTGAGCGACAGAGGGCAGGAACTTCAGCCAGCACCAGGCACAGACCCTGCTTCAGCACAGGGCAGTGCTGCCAAATGTGTCCTCACCAGACCCTGGCACTCACCACTGCTCCACTGTGCCCCAGCTGGACCCATGGGCATCCCTGTGATATTGAAGAGAAGGGTAGCACAACACTCAGTATTTGACCACGGCACAGCCCATCCCTCACAAATGCACTCCAGCAGCAGGAGAAGTCAGAGACACTCAGCCAGCCCTGCCCTGCCATCCTGCAGCCCCACGCCAGGCTCACAGCACACTGTCCAGCTGCTGCCTAGCACCTCCCAATACCCCCAAGCAAGGTGTTCTCAGTGCACCAGCCTTCTCCAGATCCCTCTTCCTCAAGGATCAATGGCAGAGCTTGGCCTCCCCAGCTTGGTGCCAGCAGTGCCCAGCAGGTCCTACCCAGCACAGGACACCTTGTCTGGCTGGTGTGTCCCGGCAGGACCCTCCCAAGGTGATGGCCAGAGCAGTGGCTGAGCTCTGGCAGTGCCCACTGTGAGGTGAGTGCAGAATGAGCTCTGCAGCTCCACCAACAGCTCGACTCTTGGAGATGGAGAGAAAAAACAGCCACAGAGCAAAGAGCTTCCCCTGAGTGACTGCAAGCAGCAAGAGAGAACCAGGTGTGTGGGCTGAGCCTGGGGTGGGCGCATTGTGGCTCCTGCTGCTGCTCCAGCACACACTCCCCTTACCTGGGCCTTTTAACAAGCTCGTCCTCACCATCCTCCACTGAGCACAGCAGGAGAGAAAGGGGGAGATGGAGTCAGTCTGCAGCAACTGAGGCCCAGAGACAGCAGGAAGGGAAAGGAACAGGAAAGGGAAAAGGCCCTCTCCTCCCACTGCCCTCCTGTCCCAATACACAGCCCTGGCCATGGGGCAGAGCACGGCCCCAGCCCAGCGGCACCACCACGAGCCCACACAGCCCCAGGCAGCTCTGCCTGGCTTAACTGCCCCATAGGGCCAAAACCAAGACTCCACGAGGCACCAAAGCCTTTATCCAGTTCCAGTTTCCCCAGCAAAGCTGGGCAGTGCCAGGCCCTGCAGAACTCACTGGCGTCGGCGCCCACCAGGCGGGACAGTTTGCGGAAGGAGCGGGACTGGGAGGTCCAGCTGGGGGGCTTGGAGTCATCAATGTCCTCTAACATCCTCAGCTTCACAGGGTCACATACAGGGGTGCTGGGGGGCTCCAGCAGCTGGGGGGGCTGCCTGTGAGTGACAGAGCCATCTGTCAAATCTGACAGATCTCCTGGGGCTGTCCCCCCCCTTCCCCAGCACAGAATCACAGCACACCGGCACCAGAGACGTCACACCTTGTCTTCCTCCCCACCCCACAACTCCTCCCTCACAAAGGCTGGGCCTGTGAAGGACTGACTCTGGAATGACCACCACCATTCCTGGCAATTTGAAACTGGCCCCAAGGGCCAGAAAGAGAAAGGACAGAGCAAGAATAAGCCAAGGTCAAAAAACACCATGAGGGAAGCTGCACCACAGCCGTCTATGGCAGTGCCACCTGCCCATGGGCACAGTGCCCAGCACAGCCCATCAGCCCTTGCCCAGTACAGCCACATCTTGGGGAACAGGGAATGGATCACACACAAGGACACTCCAGGGCCCCAGCAGCTGGCAGAGACAGGCAGCTGTCCCCTCTACACTGGGGACAGCTTGGTGCCAGCAGTGACCCACCCACATGGGCAGAGCAGCGCCTGCTGCCCATGCCCAGGCTGGCCCTGCCCTGAAGGACAGGGCACTGGCAGGGAAGAGGCATGCAGGGAGGATAGAGAGAGCAGGTAAAAGGCTTACTGACTTGTCAAGGCTCAGCACCTGTAGGGAGAGGGAAAGAGAAAGGGAGGAGAGAAAGAAAGAAAAAGGAAGGTGAAATTAGACCCACAGCACCCAAGAAGTTTCCAGAGCTCACCTATGGCCTGCATTAGCCCCCTATCCCTGAGTCTCACACCCAGCTCACCCAGGGCTGAGAGCACACTGGGGCACAGCAGCAGATGCCAGCAGACCAGACTGAGATCCCTCAGCTCCCAGAACAGGTCTGGATGCCCAGAGCAGTCAATGCCACATCCTGCCCCATTGCCCAGCTCCTGGGCACTACAGCAGCTCTGGCCCGAGGAGCAGTGACCAGCAGCTGCTGCACACATGCAGCAGAGCCAGGGAACAGAGTGGCAGGGCTGGAGGCCATCACTCTGCCCAGCCCCTTCCAGGAGCCAGGGGAACAGCAGGACTTCCCCAGGCAGGGACCGGCCAGTGGTCACAGCCAGCCACCATTTCCCTGCCACTGCAGATGCCAGCCAATGTCCTGCTGCAGCCACCGTGTCAAGCCTGGCAGGAGCCCCCACAGGCTGACACATCCCTGAGCAAGGGCCTGGCACGAGTGTGGCTGTGTGTTCCTGTGTGAGACAGCTCTGTTGTGCCAGCTCCCGTTTGCTCGGCACGGGCACTGCCACCCGCTCCCACCCAGGGTGCCTGGCATGCAAGGCGCAGCAGGGCGGGGCAGCAGGCTCCCCCGGATGCTCGGGGAGCAGGAGGGACAGCAACGTACCCGTTGTGCTGGGGGGTGCAGGCGGGCGCCAGGGGCGCGTACGTCACGGGTTTCGTCACCAGCCCGGGCCGCGGGTTCGGAGGTGAGCCGGCCCCGAAGGGCCGAGCTGTTTTGTTGAGGGCGGTGCTGGGAGCGAAGTTATATTTCAGGGGTTCAGAGCAGGGGAGTGAGTCCTGAGCGAGACAAAACACACAGACACGGGCTCACACGTCAAGCAGCATGCAAGGGCAGCCCTGGGCCAGGCAGCGCAGCAGGCAGCCAGGGAGGGAAGCCGGACAGCACGTGCACCTCAGAGACCAGGCTTTGCCAGGCTGGCACTCGCTCCACCGGGCACCTGGCCAGAGACAGCAGGTCACAAACCCAGCCTGAGGGTCATTTGGAGATTAGTAGGTGCCCCGGACACTCGCTGCTGCCCGTGGCAGGGCGGTGCATGCACACACGCCGACTGCAACCGTCCCACGGCACAAAGCTGAACACATGCAGGTGGCCTCTGCCCAGGAGCCACCAGTCACCAGCCCCAGCCCTGCCTCCCTGTGCCAGGGCACTCCCCAGCACTAGCAAACACGGTGCTGCACCTGCCCAGCCTCCTCCCCTGTGCTGGCCCCTCTGCATCCCTGCCCACACCCAGCACCAGCAGGGGCACAGACACTCTGGGCCCAGGCACCTACTGTGCAGATCCCGCTCCCTCTGATCCTCCACAGTGCCAAGAGGTCAGAGCTGCTCCTCCAGCTGGGCTTTCTAGACCTTCAAACACACCCCAGCCCCCTAGAAGCCCCAAGAGCAAAGTCCATTTGCTTCACTACACTGAGATTCCCTTGCCCTGAGATGAGGCTGAGCTGCCACTGTGGCACCAGGAGCAACACGTACCTTCTGTGGCTTCCCCAGCTGGTTCTGGGCTCTGCAAGAGAGGAGACAGATGGGCAGGTACTGGAGTTGGTCCAGACACCACCAGCATGCTGGTACCCCAGGGATGCAGCACCCAGCCGAGGGGAAACATGGCCAGCTGGCACTGCCCTGTGGCTTGCAGTCAGGTTAAGCCTTATCCAGGCAAGCAGAGCCCTTGGACACAGCCAGGGACTTCCAGGCTCTAAGTAAGGAGCAGTGACGCAGGGAGATGGAGATACCAGGAGGTGGCACTGGGCAGAGGGCCCTGATTACACTCCAGTCATACCAGAACCCCATGTTTGAGGGACCCATGATTCCTACCTGCTCAAGGTGAGGCAGAGCCTGTCCCCACAGGCACGGATCCTGTTCTGGGCCTCGATGTGTGTCATGGCACTGGTGCTCTCCCCGTCGATGTACAGCACCCAGTCACCCACTCCCACGCCGGCCTGGGCTGCCTTCCCACCCAGAGTCAGCTGCAGGACAGACAGAGTTAGGGACAGCTGGAACAGCCAAGCAGTGACGTGGGAGCAGAGGGACATCCTCATGAGGGCAGGGGCCTTCCAAGGCCCAGGATCCCCAGCCCAGCACAGGACATCACACTGACCTGACCCAGGGAAAAATGGCAACCCCCGGATTACTCCTCATTTCCCAGTGCATGAGCCCAGAGCAGCCTCTTCCCCTTGGCAGCAGCAGAAGGCAAAGCACTTCTCCAGGGCACTGCCCAGCCCTTGCCCTGTGGCATGCCTGGGGACCCTGCCAGCACCCCAGGGCCTCATTTCCATGACCCCAAACACAGAGGCAGCGCTGCCTCAGTCCCACATCCAGCCACCCCCTGGAGTCACCCCTGTGGTCTCAGGGCAGGAAGAGAGCACAGTGAGTCAGGGCCTGCCGGGCAGCCCTCATCTCACTGCAAACCACAGGCATGTCCAGCCCTTCGCTGGGGCGGGGAAGGAGAGGGGAGGCACCCCTGGGGCACTCCCCCAGCCGCCGGCGCTGCCGGCCCGTTCCCACCAGGCACAGACATTACCTCATTCCCACAGAGGAGCAGGAGCCCTGCCGGGGCAGGGAGACACCCACCCCCTCCCTGTCATCCCGCTGGGACAGCCGGGAGCACAGCCACAAGCTTCCCTTCCCCTGGCCACGGTGCCAGGGATGCGCGCTGGCCCTGCTTGGCTCCGTGGCACGGCTGAACGTCAACATCAGGCTGGGAAGTGGAGGCTGCCCTGCCCTCCCACCAGGGATGCACAGCCAGAGCAGGCCCAGAGCACTGCACACAGCTCCCAGGCACTGACAGACAGACAGACAGACGTGGGCAGGCTGCAGCCATTCCTGCTCCTCCAGCATGGAAGAACTCGAGGCGCTTGGACCCAGACCAAGTATTTCCTCAAGTCCTGTTCGACATGAACATAAAAGGAGTGAGCCAGATTCCCAGCACTGTCAGAGGGCTGAAAAATCCTTACCACAGAGTCCTGGCCCCTCCTTACAGAACCCGGCTCACCCTGGAGTCACACATCCCTCCTCTAGGCCAACACCAGCCCTCCATGCAGGCCAAACACCACATATGGACTGGATGTGGCCCAGTTCCACCTGCATCCCACTGCTATGCCCAGCAGGACATGGGTCCTCCCACACTGCCCTCCCGTTCCTCCAGCCTGGCACAGGAGGGTGCCCTCACAGCAGTGATGCCCCCAGCTCCTGGCCATGCTGCTGCAAGCCCCAGCTTGCTGCCCTGGAGGGCTGGGGAAGGCACGGGGCAGCTCCTGGAGGCAGGAGCAGGAGTTGGGAGAGGTTTTCACGCGACTGCCCAGGAAGGGGAGAGCACGTCAGGCTGCGTCATGAAGCCTCACCCAGCCTGGTCAGCACTTCCCGTTCCCCTCCATGCCAACGTGCAGGAAACCCCTGTGACAGGTGCCAGCTCAGCCAGGAGCCATGGCAGTGCCAGCCCTCCTACTTCCCACCCAGACCCGCTAACCAGGGCTTCCTTCCTCCCCTCTCCACCCAGCCTTTTGTTTCCTGCACCTCCATCACCACATCCAGAGAGGTGCTCACCCACTGCCCTGTCCAGACAGAGCCCCCCTCAGTGCTTTCCTGCCAGTAACACCCAAGTGTCTCCTCTTTCCCAGCTGGCAGATACCAGGATGTGCCACACAGCATCCAGCTATCCAGACTGCAGTCCTTATACCAGCTCCAGCACAGGGACGACCAAGGTTTACAGCCTGCCTAGCCAGGGTGTCAGCACCTAGCAGAGCCCCGTGCCACAGGAGGTACATGTCACAGGGCCATGGTGGCACCTCTTCTGTGTGATCAGTGAGCTGAAACTGCCTCACTGCTCACCCAGGAGTGCCACAGCAATGGACACAGCTGAAAGCCAAGCCAATGGACACACCAGTGTTGTCCTGTGCTGCCCACCCCTGCAGGCCTGCAGAGCAGGGCCCCACTGCAGCCCACAAAGCCGGGGCAGGATGGTTCCTTCCAGCTGCTGTGGCAGGCACAGCTCACGGGAAGCAGTAGCAAGGACAGCAGCATGCTCTGGGTCTGGGGATGCCTCTGGAGTGCAGAGCAGCACAGGCTCACACTTTCCCATCAGAGCACACCGCCCTGCCATGCAGCCCAGCCTCACCAGAGAGCCCCCTAAGCTGGCTGCATCCCCTGGGAACGTCCCTGCTGCTCCTGCCCTGCCCAGGACTGCAGCACTGCCCAAGCCTCACCAAGAACTGCTTCACGAGGCCCCTGCCCCAGGCTCTGGGAGGCTCCTCCATCCAACCAGACCCTTTGTTAAGAACTGGCTCGCAGCCAAGAGAAACATTTTTTAGAGAATAAACGGGCTGAATCTGTCTCTGCGTGCTCAGCAGAGATCAGCAGGCCCCGGGGCAGCGGCACAGGCGACTCCAGCCTCACTCAGTGCCCTCAGGGCCCGTGCTCCATGCTGGGATGCTGTGTGGATCTGTGCCCTCTGGGGCAGGTGTGCAGTGCCCGGCTCGTGCCAGGGGCAGGTCCCCACGCAGCACTCGATGCCACAAAGCAAAGCTGTCCTTTGAGAAGCAGCGTGCGTGCCAGCTGCCCCAGCGCCAGCGGCGCAGGCGATGCAGGCACATTCCAAGGCTTATAAGGCAATCGCGTGGCCAAAGCTGTGGCCAGCACCCGCCCAGGGATGGGGACCTGCACACAGCCGGGGTCAAACCCGGGAACATTGCAACGGGAGAGGCTCAAACCAACGGGCACAACCAGCTGTGGCTCTGGAGGAACGGGAGAGTTTAGTGGAAGGAGTCACATCCCTGTGCACGCAGCAGTGCAGCTTCCTCCTCTCCATGCCCATTTCAGGAGTGACCTCAGGCACAGAGCTGGGAGCTGTGCTGTGGAACGGAGGGCAGAAGGGCACTGGCTCGGTCCTGGGATGCCAAGCCCAGTGCTGGGGTGCAGACCAGGAAGCCAGTCCCACATCTCAGAGAGCAGATCCCCTCCTGCTGCAGTGGGAACTCTCCGGAAGGGGCCTCCCCTGCCCCCCTCTGCAGAGGCTGTGCAGAATTTCACGTTTCTGCCTGCAGCTCTCTGCCCGGAACACCCCCGTGCTGGGCTGCAGCTGATAAGGGACCAAGGAGGCTACGTGGAGCCAGGCAGGGCAGGATGCAGCATTCCCGGGGCCCTAGCTCATCTACATCCCCCGTACGGCTCTGCCTCAGCCACTGCGGCCTCCCTCCCAAGAGGCAGGAGGAAGGATGGGTGTCACCAGCCTTGGTTTCTCTTACCCTGGAGATGGAGAGCGGCATGCTGAAATCCTTCCCTCCCTGCAGCCTGAAGCCCCAGGGTGCCGGCCCGTTCAGCATCACCTTGTAGGACTCCATGTCGCCCATCTCTGCAAGGGAAGAGAGTGTGATCCCAGCGTTAGGGAATGTGGAAACAATGCAGGGAGAGCAGGAGAGGAGAGGGCTCGGTGCCTGGCAGGGTAGGACAGGAGGCAGGTCACGTTTCCTGCTGTAACTCCACCCTGACCATCCTACACTGTGGTTAGAGACGCACCCCAAATCCATCAGCATCTCCTCCAGCAACGTCAGAGCTGAGGGGCCCAGGCTAACACTGACTAGCGCCAGGGAGCCAGGCACAGCCCTGCTGCCACCCATAGTGGGATGTCTGTGGGTTCTGCTCTCTTCCCCAACCTGGGATGTGCTCTCCTTTGCAGCACCCCAGGAACTTCTGCTGCTGAGAGCCAAGGCTGTTCAGAGCACCGAGAAGCAACAGCAGGTACAGAAGGATAGGAACCAGAAGCATTTTTGCCGGATGAATTAGCAGCAGCAGCAGAGGAGCTGCGTGATGCCACCCGAGGCGCTGGCACAGCAGCCAGGCTGGCGCTCCGGCAGCCGGCCGAGCAGATGCTCCCTGGGAGCGAGCCCATCTCCGGGGCTTGGGCAGGAGGGAATCCCGGCGCTCCCCTGCCTGACAGCTGTCAGCCGGCCAAGGCTCGGGACAGACGGGCCAGCGCCAGCCTCCTGTCACCTTTTACCTGGAAGGAGCCGCCAGACCCCTGCGAATGGCCCCAGGACCTTCCCCCCGAGGGCGGGCAGGGCCGGCTGCGGGGCTCCCCACGCCTCGCACGGCCCGGCCGCAGGGCCGGGGGCCAGCGTGCCCCCGCTCTCCCCGGGCCGGTGCGGTCTATATAAGGCGTGTAAGACGACACCAGCCCGCTCCCCGCTCGGGAGGGCCGGGGGAAGAGCTGCGTGTCAGGCATTCCCGGCGCCCGGGAGCCGCGCAAGCCCCAGCGAGGCGCCGGGACGGGGCGGCCCGGAGCGGGCGGATACCCCCCACCCCTCCCCGGCGGGACGGGGCCCCAGTGCACCGGGGGTCCCCAGCGTGCACAGGCTGGGCAGCAGCTCTGCTTATTGCTGGGAAGCCCCACCCTGACCCGCGGGGGCCTTGGGACCCCTCCCCATCCCACACCGCCGCCCCCCTCCAGGGGTCGGAGACGCCGGCTCTGCCCCGCATGGGCCCGACTCTGATCACCCACCTTCCCCTTACGCCAGGCCTCAGCCCTCCACCCCTCACGCCCCCATGCCCCCCGGCAGAGGACGGAGCCCTCCGCCTGGGCGCGGCTCCCCGGACTCACCCGCGGCCAGCGGGGCCCGGCGGAGCGGGCGGGAGGGGAGCGGAACGGTGCGGACCGACGCGGGACTCGAACCCGGGCACCGCCCCCGCCCGGCACGGCCCCACCATATATAGGATCAGGAGGGGGCGGAGCCAGCGGGCGTTTCGGCCAATCACCGTGCGCGCCTCTGCCTGCCGGGGCGGGCACGGCGGCGCCCTCTAGCGGGGAGGCTCGAGCTGCCCCGCCCGTCCCCCCACTCCTCACAGCGGCGGCGGAACCGAGTCCGGGAAGGGCCTTTATTGACCGAACGGCACCGACCGGCACCGGCCACATCAAGCCCAGTCCCGCGCTCCGGGACTCTCCCTGCTCAGCAGCCGCACCAGCTTGGCCCGAAGGGTGCTGTGCGGCTTGTGCCCGGAGCGCCCTGACAGTGCCTCCTGCCCTCCGCGCCCCCAGCCCGCGGCCCGTGGAGTCGGTGCCATGGCGGCCCGGTTGTCATAGACGGGCCCCCCCTCACTGCTGTGGCCCTCGGGGGCCTGTCGGCACCCCAGCTCCCACTGCCCTTCCTCCTCCTCTTCCTGGGCCCCAGCTGGACGTGGTTCTGCAGTGAAGATGTTCTCGTAGAGATGCTCAGGAAGCGGTTTCCCCACGGCCCAGGGCTCCCCAGAGCCTGGCTGCCCTGACACAAAGAGGGGCTGCTGGCCCCGGGCGATGGAGGCATAGACGATTGGGCATGAGGCCTCTGGCTCTGGTGGGGTGAAGCAGAGGAGGTTTGCAGGGGGGTGGGAGGCAGGCTGTGTCCCCCCCAGCGCTGAGCTGGGCTGGGGTTCATCATTCCCAGGCCCCCAGGGCTGGGGCTCAAGGCCCTGTGCAAAGAGCTGGGGCTCTGAGACACAGAAGAGTCTGGGCTCCAGGGTGTCCTTGCCCTGCTGCTGGCAGGCAATGGCAGCAGCCACAGCCCGGCAGAGCTCAGGGGCCCGTGGGGTGCTGAAGGTGAAGGTGCCCTCGCCGGAGTCACTGCGGCGGCCAGCCTCGAAGGAGAAGACAGCCTGCAGGGTCAGATGGGAGAGTGAGGGGCTGCCACCCACTCTGGGCAAGCAACAGCCCCAAAAATGGAGTGGGGGACTCACCTGATCCTGGCCAAACTTGCGAAGGAAGGGGTAGGGCCAGGTGAGCAGGGGCTGGCGGGACTGGGGGTCCTTCAGTGTCAGGCTCTGGGGAAGGGCTGAGAGCAGGTAGTGCCCATGCAGCCCACAGCGGGTGGCCGCGTCTGTCTGGACCACCAGCACCAAGAATTCAGTCACTGTGGGAGCCAAACAAGCCAGGGGTCAGCACTGCAGCACTGAGCTGCAGCCCACCCCAGCCCTCTTCACCACCCCTGCACGTACGGTCCTGCCAGGACGAGTAGAGAGAATTCTCCTCCATGGGGACAGCGGGGCTGAGCTGGGTCCTAGCACTGCTCGGCACTGTCTCTTTTCCACCCTGAAACAAAGGGATGTGAGTATGACCTGGGACAGAAGGGGCGGGGAGCACAAATCCCCTGCCTGCCCTGGAGCTTCCCAGCTCACCCAAGTCGGGCTCTTGGCTCTGCCAGACCCCTTGGTACCTGGAAGGCCAGCTGGCAGAGCTGGGTGATCCATTCATCGCGCTGCTCGGCTGCCAGCACATAGCTCTTCTCCGTGGTGGTGAGGTAGAAGGCAGCCGTGGCTTTGGGGCAGCCCTGGGTGCCCGCCGGGCCCACGGAGACGCAGTCAGAGAGGCGGATGACGCGGCGGGCACAGCGCTGCAGGGGCACCTTCTCTGGGACCGTGCCATCATCCCGCACGTCAAACTTCTCCATGCGGGCCACACCGGACGGGCTGGCAGCAAACAGCTGGGCTCGCATCTTCCTCCAGGACCTCTATGCATGGAAAGGGCAAAGGCAGGGAAAAAACAGGTCAGCAGAGCTGGCTGCTGCATCTGGCAGCTCTGCCCTCCATACAGGGCACAAGGGGCACAGGGGAGTGCCAGCCCACACCTGCCAGGTGTTGTTGGAGGGCACAGAGAACAGGGGCCAGCACAGACCCTGAACTGCGGGGCAGGGCAGGCCCGAAGCTGGGCTGAGGGGGCCTTGCCCCGAGCGGGCCTGGCATGGCTCACTGGGTGAGTCACACTCACTCCTGGCTCCCTGAGCACCAGGTCCTGCTCTTTGTTCCCTGCTGCAAGTGCTGGCCTGCCGACCTGCAGCTGAGCTCTCGAGCTGTTCTCAGGACGGACCCTGATGCAAATTAAAGCCATTTTGAGCTGCAAAGGCTCCTGCTGGCAGCCTCACATCTGCTGAGCAGCCTGCTTCCTCCCAGGGGAGCCTCTGCAGCACCAGCACCTTCCCAGTCCGTCATGGGATAGCGGGGGCGCGTGCCACCACGTACCTCAAAAGTGCACAGAGCCTCCGCCCTGCAGGAACCAGATGCAGCCAAGCACTCAAAATACCCACCACCCCCGGCCCACCTGCCTCCTCCATGGCAGGGCACCAGCTCCTCACACACAGGGCTGCCTGCTGAGCTTCCAGGGCTTGGTTCTTGTTCAGCAGGGAGGTCAGAGTGCGATTGCAGCCCCACACAGCCACTGACACCCCCACAGGACATGGCCACCCTTCTGCCAATGTGCCTGCAGGACCTACTTTGCCCACACCCAACAGCTCCCTGGTACTCTCACTGTGTCACCCATACCCTGCCCCAAGAGCTTTGGCACTCAGGGCCCCCTCCGAGGGCACGGAGGAGCAGCCCAAGCCACGAGGGTGTCACTGGATGGTGCTGGCCCTGCAAGGCTGGGCTAATGGAGGGCACAGGGACATGTGCCACGTGCTGGCCCAGGGCCCCACTCACACTCACACACACACACACCAACGCTGGAGCTGTGCCATATTAATGCGTGTTTATTCTTCCATTGAGACTCACGCAGTGACCAAGCAAGAAGAACCCAACACAGGGGCGAGCCAGAGTGGGTGCCCACACAGATGAGTCCCCTCAGCCCCACGGGAAAGCCCCACTTACGGAGCTGCTGAGCCCAGGGCTTCCCCAAGGGCAGCTCAAACAGGTCTGGCTCCAGTCACCCCTTCCTAGGCTGCTGAGGGCCCAGCCCCAGGCCCAGCCTCATGGCAAATCAGGGCAAACCCTCTACCAAACCCAAATCCACCCTTTACCTTTCCAAATTTGGTGTGCTGCACATAAAGGATCCCATCCTTCACTGGTCTCTCCATGGGCCCAGTTCACCCTGGCAGCCAGCGCAAGGATGAGGGACTCGGGCTACCCGCAGCGCAGAAAATGTGACCGCTGCAGTCGAAGGAAAGGCATGGGGCAGACTTCCGTCTCACAGAGACTTCCCCTTTCTGGGGGTGTGGGATGGGGGGCAGAGGCTGGGCCACAGGAGGTGTCCGTGTGCCCGCCCTCCCCCTCAGAGCAGGGCAGTGGGGCAGAACGCGGGGGCAGAGCACAGGAAGCACCTCGGGGAGCGCCTGACATGAGCATGGCACGCTCCACCTCACCCTGCCTGCATCCTCCCAGCACGGCTGGGGAGACAGAACAGCCACCAGAGAATGCACAAATCCAGGCGAGGGAGATGGGCCCAGAGAAACTGGGTGGATTTGTGAGGAGCAACACAAGACCTGACCTCACCACTGCACAGGGCTGACAGAGGCAGCAGAGCAGTTGCCCCACCTGGGGCTTTCTCTTGCCCTGAGGCACTGCTACCTGCTTGCCCAACAAACCCTGATGTAATGAGCTGTTGCAGCACAGCTCCATACATTTCCTTCCGGGACAGGAGCTTCATCAGGCTGAGCTGGCAACAGTTCCAGTAACTAAAATTCTGGAAAAGGGCCCACAGCAGTGCAAGACAGGCCCCTGGGCTGACAGGAAACCCAGGCCCATACAGGGGCAGCACGCTGTCCAGCTAGAAGTCCATAGAGCTGTGGGCCAGGTAGTCCTTGCGGCCGATGTTGCTGACTTGCTTGGTCTGCATGGCCTCCAGCTTGGGGCAGTCGGTGATGCGATGGCCCAGGCCACCACAGAAGGCACAGCCCCGCTCACCTGCAACGGGAGAGATGGGGTCAGGGCCAGGACAGTGACATGCCAGAAGAGCACAGTGCCACCCCAGGACAGCAGTTCCCACCCCAGAGCAAAGGGGCTACACCAGTGTCTCCCCAGTGTTGTGGCACTGGGAGCTGGAGGGTCCCTTCTGGAGCCCAGGTTTTGCAGCAGCCCCACGGGGGTCCCTGTGTGAGCCTGGGGTCTCTCACCATTGATGTCCAGCATGGTCTCATCCCCACAGTGCAGCACCTGGAGCACAGGTGGCACCTTCTGCTTTGCCTCCAGGAGCAGAGCCTTCAGGTCCATCAGCACCGACTCATCTGGGGACAGAGACACAGGTCAGGCAAAGCCATCCTGCTTGCTCAGGACACCCCCTTGGCACTGCCCAGCTACCCCCAGCCCCGTGCTGTTCCTCACCACAGGCCTTGTTGATGAAGGTGGTGGCAATGCCAGTGTTGCCTGACCGGCCCGTACGCCCGATGCGGTGAACTGTGGAGACAGGGACAGGATCAGCCCCAGGTGAGCACAGTGTGACAGCCCATCCCTGCCCCAGGACACTGCAGGGACAGGCACAGAGCCTTGCTGGCCTCCAGACCCCTCCCACGAGGCCCAGTGCCCACCATAGTTCTCAATCTCCTCTGGCATGTCGTAGTTGATGACGTGCTGGATGGCTGGGAAGTCCAGGCCCTTGGAAGCGACGTCAGTGGCAACCAGGACATCCTTCTTCCCATCCCGGAAGGCCTCAATGGCCTTTGTCCGCTCTTCCTGATCTGCAAAGGCCCAGCAGAGAAGATCAGGGAGGGCAGAGCTCCCAGCCCTACCTTCTGCAGCAAACACTGTGGCCTCAGAGTCAAGCATTGCTTCCTTGGGCAGCCTTTCTCCAAGTCAGGGAGCAGAGGAGCCTCTACATCCCATAGGGACCTGCTGTGTACAACATGGAGCTCACTCCTGACACTGTCACAGCCCTTCCTCACACCATCAACAACTGCTCCAGGCTGGCACCTCCCATGGCCACACACATTCCTGG